TTCATCAAAATGCCGATCGGAATGGTGGCGTCAAACGGTTCCAAGAACTTAACGATCCGTGTTTTGTATATACGGGTGCTCGTCTCATTCGTATGGTTTACAACCCATCCATGTCTCACCGTCCCTCGGCGTTCATGGTTCGATGGCTTGGCGATTACTAGAAAATTGATCGTCGCTTTCATTCTAGTTCGAATATGCCACGATCTTCTTCTTCACCACGCCTCTCTTAACTCCTCTCCTCTTTGTACTCGACGTCATGTTGACACTTTCTGCGACTTCAACCGTATCACCTTTCGATGTCCTTCACTCCTCCCTAGCTGACTTCTCCTTTTCTCATTGCTATCTTATTTTGGTTATATCACTCCCGACGCCAACTTCCATTCTATTAAAAACTTCATTATAATTAATTTTAGTTCCTTATAAATTTGTTTTATTTATGTACTATTTTTGTTTATTTGCCGTAATGTTTTAAATTAAAAAAAAATTCAAAAACAACACGTCCACGGCTTCGTAAGAGAAATGTTTATATTTTGATGATTGGTGTCGGCTCGGGAATGGCTACGTATTATAAGCGGTGGCGAGCTAACCTTCCCCGCACTAAACGACGTCAGTGCAACACGACGGTTTTGGGAAACAAAAATTTTTATTAAAATTAACAAATATAATATAATATAATAATAATAATAATAATAATAATAATAATATAATAATATTAACAATTACTTTAGAAATCGTCGGCGTGCGCACGCGCGGTACGAGTCGGTCTGTTCATCGTCGTCCGCTGACGGCTGCGGTGCCGTCGCCGTAGCGCGCGTATTTATAGTCGCGCCCGACCGGACGATCGGATCGTGTTCTTGGCGCGATCGCGTACGCGGTCCCATCGCCCAGTCGATCGCAGCGCGCGAGTGCCTGACGTCCGTGCGAACTGTACCGCTGTTACAAAGGATAGAGACCGCACGGATTTTTACTTTTCATTCTCGTTTCTGTTTCGTTCGCGAAGTTTTCCTGACGTTCGTCATCTCCATCCATCGATATCCATACGGCGCAGGTATAGTTTTTATCGTTATGCTAGATCAAAATTCTCCGTGCAACAAATTCAAACGTTGACCATAACGATCGTAGTGTTACAACAATGGGGTTTATGGTAAACGGATACCAGTGGTGTATTTTGATTTTTGTCATAGGGGGAGGATATGACATAATACAGTAGTTACAAACTTGAAGGAGGCTACTACCCCCTCACTCCCCTAAGTTTCGTAAATACGAATAATGTAGTAAAGTATATTTTAAACCATGGTGATAAGGTACTACAATATCTGTATCCATCGTACCCATTGTTAATATAAGAATGCCTTAACGACGATAATTCGTCTTTGTTCTATGATGATATTGACCGCATAGACCCGGTGTGAGAACTGACCACGGACCAGTGACCAGCGATACCGATGAGAATATTATACAATGTGTTAGAATATTTTAATTCTTGCAAATGTAATCGATTATTGAGAAAAAAAAAATATATATATATAATATTTTAAATAATATTATGACTATAATTATTTGCATGTACACATGGGTGAGGGAATTGATCCCCTTGATCCCCCTCCGTAAATACGCCACTGACGGATGAGTTTACGTGTGTACAATATTATTAAACCGTTCGTGCGATCGGAGAGATGATAACGGTATAAATGGACGGATTGCTATGCAGATTTATGGTTTTCAATCGAGTATGCCGTGTGGGCGGACGGGGTCGGCACACCGCGCGGTAACGTTTGGTTGAAGATGACTAGAACTCGTCGACGACGTCCGTACGGTTACGAATGCGGATCGGCGATGATTTTCACAAAAACGCGTTCGGATCACATAAGACATTTTCTACGTTGGCAGGCGTGTAATTCGCGCAAGAACCGTTAATCGTAATAAATACGAGGTTGACATTGTGCAACGTAAAACTAAACTCTTAACGTTCGATTCGAGCGTAAGTGGTGCTGTGTAGTATGTTATAGAGGAAGTATATTTAACCGAATCGAGATTCAACGTGTTGAATGAAATTTGAATTTCGCGTTCGATCACTTTACGGGAGTCGTACGCTGACGATGGTCGGGTGTACAGACATTGTTCGCAGAGTGACATGTGCAAACGTACGAATCGAACGGATTACGGTACGAAGGGGGTAAATCGATGGTAAAATGTGAATACGTGAAATGAGCGTTGTGTTCTTAAGGTGGACAAGGAGAGCTGTGCACGACAAGTCCATCCGTCACGAAAATCGACGAATAGCTTTCTCCTAGATTGACCAACGGCGGTTAAAATTAACGAGATTCAAATCTGTTGTCGCTTTGAACAACTTTTTTCATACCTACCGGAAACGTCTTGTCACTTACTTCATACTGAAATCACGTGAAACGGAGGAGGACAAATAGGCAAACGCGCACGGAAGTGGGGACTCGACCCGCACATTCTTCATCGTGTACGGATGCCCACGTTTCCTGCGCTGCACCGTACGACATCCCTGACCGGAACAAAAACGACCGATTAACCGACGACGGTTTGCGTCTACGTACTTTTGTCCTTTTTACTCGACAAGAGTTAGGTATTCCGTCCCGAGTGAACGAAAGCCGCGACGGTGACGATAGCAGTATTATAATGAGTGTTGATAACTAAAAATTTAATTACATATAGATAAAAGATAATTGGATACAATTTATCTAGATATAGATAAAAGATGATTATTATAATTATTATTTATCTGAATGAAAAAAAAGATAACGTTTTTTTAATATTATTAATTAACTTACATTTTTTTTGTATAAATTTATACTTAAAAATAAAATGAAATTTAAATTAACTTAACTTTGATCTAATAGGTACCTCCAATATAAATAATGACCTACAAATACTTATATTATGTACATTGATGAATGGGAAATAAGTAACAAATAATAAGTACTAACTTAGTTTTAAAAAACAATTCTTTGTAGGTACAGGTATATTATAATTTTATAAAACGATTCGTTACATTTTAATAATACTTATTATGGAGTAATATTTATGATTAAAATATAAAAAATTTAATTCAACCATTATCTGTATTTAATTAATTCTCTTCCTAAGAAATCAAATATTGTAAGAGTCACTAAAAAGTATAAATTAAATAGTCTTTATTAAATATGTAAAAAAATTTTAAAAATAATACTTATTTGCACACATTAAATAATACAACTAAATATATATTGCAGAAACACAACTCTTAAAATAATAGTAATTAATTATAAAGGTAATAAATTAATAATATTAATAAAGTTTTCATTCATTTTATATTATGCTATATTTAATTTTTAACTTTCAAATTTTCGAATGTTTTGAATAAATACACTTGTATTTTATCTAGATGAATTACGTAAGATAACTCAAGAATTCATCTAAGATAATTCAACGGATAACTAATTCTTTTTACTACCTAAGTAATTTAATTAGGACATTTATTTAGATAACGCTCAACACTGATTATAATACACGACGGTCTTAGAAACGCGCAAAAACCTGTACATAAAGCCTTCGCGTTTAACATTTCGATGGCGGTATTGTTCGCGTTTCCGCGCACATTTATTCGACTGTCTGCACTCGTCCGTTCACCGTAAATACGTTATTTCATACCGTATCAAGTGTGCGCGCGTTGTGCTCTCACACGCGAATTCGTCTGACGACAGAAACTGATTTCCTACTGACCTACTGACAATATAATTAATTATTTATACGATATTGAAAGCTCAAATGGGTGGAATGTAAGAGCAGGTTTCCCGATACCACCTATTATAATACTGAATATTGATGAACTACAACTCAAAAAATAAAAATTCTTAAAACATAATACTGTAATATTGTAAAAAGAAACTGATGAGTTCACTGTAGTTTTGTATTTAATTTGTTCGAAAACACATCAACTGACCGAATAAATGAAAATTCAACTTGAAACCATACCGTTTTACCGCTGTATTCATCCTATAGTTGTCCGTCAAGAGTGCTCGCGATACGTGACGTGATAGATCTTCCGATTTCATTTTCGTATATTTATCCAGTATAATATATACTATATATATGTTACGGTAAAATATGAATATTGGTGAATGTCGTCATTCTCCGGCGAATGACGTCTTTTACCAAAATAATTCGATTATGTTGGTAAATGATGTAAAAAACCAGATTTTAAATTCAAATGTACATCTTTCACCCGTCATTGATGTCATTTACCAAAACTGGTGGTAAATGATGATAAATCTCAAATAATACACTGATTTTTTTTACTCTAGGTACTATTTATAATAATGATTTATTGTTAAAATAAAATACGCGCCTATTATAAATTATTTATTTGTACAATTTTGGTTACTATGAAATTTTAAACTGCACAACATTTCCACTGCATTGCAAGCACATTTTTTAGTACCACAACCAGTTTTGCAGTTGCATCGATTAAATCCTTGATGACCAGCTATTCCATGTCCTGCTGCTTCTCTTAATGTTATTTCCCTGTCTTTAATTTTTTTCATGGCTTCATCTAGCTCTAGAAATTTTTCTTTACATAGAGAAATTTGTGTTTCAACACCCCATATTCTGTCATTTCTGTCACAAATTTTTACAAATAATATTATAAAACACACATTCGTAGCAAATACAACTCGCTATAATATACCCGTCGATACTAACTAATAAACTAAAAGATTATCTCACATTATTATTCGGGTTATCGACATTATTGCTAGTTGGGATTTTCGTTTATAAAAGTATTAAACATCATTCTCCAATTAAACTGGTGATTGACGACGATAACCGGAGAATGTCTGCATTTACAACGTTTACCAATTTTTAGGTAAATTATGTAATTTACCGGGGAATGACGTCTTTTACCACGACTACATCATTCACCGTAACATATATATTATTTATTTTATTTATTGAATATTCATTAATTATTGTTATTATTATTATTATTATAGTTTGCAAACGCATAACGACCGGATAAGAACACAGATCGACCCGAAATCGCTAAATACCTACTGCGCTCCGTTCCGGTCCGTATCCCATGCGTGCACGGTGCGCATATAATATTGTCCACGTCGCTGTCTACCGAAAAGCTGCTTTTTGATTTGATATCGTTCCCGTAGTTTACACGTAACACGCGTACATACACGTACAGGTACGTAACCGGGAATTGGTTGTAAACGAAAAACGCTTTTGGGGGAATCGCTTTCAGTTTTTCCCCACTCAAAACTGTTACATATCCCCTCCCATGTTCTTTCTAACACTGTTTTTAGTGCTTTCCACCCTTATGTACGTATAACAGTGTTTACTAGTGCATTGTTACTATCGTTTAATACTCATTACCGTGTACACAAACGAAGCGTTTTTACCTCCCCTACCGGCTCGACCCTTGGATACTATAACACGGAGCGTACGCCGTTTTATTATTTACAAGGACCAAGTGCACGTAATTGTTAACAATATAAACCATGAAGCGATTCACTCAAGCAGCGTTTCCGTGTTCCCATACGAGTAGTCGATCTCGGTTGAACACTAAACGAAACGTATACGAAACATTTTCAATAATAGTTGATCTTATAATTTATAGCTGTGCAATATTACGTATATTACGCGCGTATTATAAAATTAACATTTATGTATACAATTTCCAGATGGGTTTAAGTTTATACGTCATTAAAATTATGATGTTTTTCATGAACCGTACTTACGAAAACTTAGAAAATATGTATGTTTATAATTTACGGTCGATATTTTTTTTTATTGAAAAATATAAACCAAACGTTCATCGTTATTCCGGTTGACAGTAGGAATTTCTTTCTTCACTTCAAAAGAACAGATCATTTTCTATTTCGGGTTACACAACAATAAATCTAGGTGCATAAATGCGTTTTCATTTTGTTTTGTGTCCGATTGCCAAGTTATACACGGATAGTTGGTTTTATTTGATATTGAATCAATTTATTCTCGCATTAGCTGTATTGATAATGAGACCCTGTTGACCCTGTATACATAGGTTAATGCGTGGAATCGTTTCATATTGCAAAAAAAATGGATTTAAAAAATGCACAGAAATACGAATAAGCAATATTATTTGATCAAAAAGTGTAATTTATAAAACACGTGCAACCTATGAAATAATTTTTGTTAATCTTATATTTTACTGTATGATTTACATCAATTCGAAATACTCTTCATATTTAAGTTACCTATTCGTAATCAAGAAACTATATGCTGAGTGATAATCGATTAAACCGATAGCTTATGCCCGACAAAACTTCTTTTTCTCTGTTCACTGGATAAAACGTTTTGTAATAAATTCATCATTAATATACCTATGTACATATTTATGAAAACACGTTTTTTTTTTTTTTTTTTATTTATTAATATAAACGCCGTAAGGCTCAAATACAGTGTAAATAAAGATATAACAATAAATATAACAATGTAACAATTTAAGATACAAATTTAAGAATAACAATAGTTAATTAATTATGGATAAACTTATACTTAAAACTAGTATTTTATTATAAAATTATATATGTTTGATTATAATTAAATGAAGAAGTCCATACCGGACTCATTTCCTAATTTCAAAATTCTCTCAGAGGGGTTATTTTGACCATAATTTGTTCTATGGGTTTTGATATGTTTTCATAAACTTACTATACATTTCAGTACCTGATACCGCAGTCTTCAACCCGCATCTCGTATTGTCTTTATTTGAAGCTCGTGAACTCATTTTAGGAATATTATATTATGAATTTTTTTTATTTTTATTTCAAACAAATCGAAACGGCTGTAAGACATCAACAAATTATGTAAAACGCAAAAACTGAATTTTGTTTAAACCACGTGTTTTCATTACGAATATGGTCCGTGAGATTTTTGAAAACTCTACAGGACCCACTTTTCAAAAAGGTTGAAAATACCCGAACCAATATATTTATATAAAAGGTTTGCTATAAAATATTGAGACCGCTACTCGTTGAAAACATAAACAATGATCATCTTATTATTGATTCGGGTGTAATGACTTATGCTGTAGTAGCATATAAATATTATAATAATATACGTCTAATAATTGCACGTGTCGAATTCAAAAAAAAATTTTAAACGACAATAATTACCCATTGTAATTAAAACCACACAAACCTATAAACGAACGGTCGAACCATCAAAAATTGAATATACATATGTAGTCGAAATGCAATTTGAAAATGGAACATACTGTACCACCGAATAATAATTGATTGTTTGAAATATTTATATATATAATATCTACTAACGCGTATTTCATCGCAGACCAACAAAATCGTTTTGTGAAATGAAATAATGTACAGGGAACGTCATGCATACAATAAATTATACAATGCATAGACATATTTTATCACATTAAATATTTTACATTATTTTCCGTAAGCTTTACAACGTGAACTGTACTATATATAGTACAATGGTTGTGCAAATAATTCAGTAAACTAAATTAAACGAAGAAAAAAAAAAAAGTCATGGAAACTTTAAGAACTGGTACAAGGGCTTTTGAAATCAACAGTACACCTTTGAATTAGTTGAATCTTTTGAATACCTAGGAGTAAATTTAAACCGAAAAGGAGATTGGGATTTAGAAATAAATAGAAGATTACGGAAGGCACAAATACCTACTAATCAAGTTTTTTAATTCAAAACTATTCTTTAAACGAACAAAAGAAAAACTGTGTACAGCAGTAGTGAGACCAAATTTGACTTATAAATACGAGATTAACAAAGAAAACAGAAAAATCAATAAAGTTCGATAACTAGATTTCGAGGAAAATCTATTTTTGATAGATAAAAAATCAATGGAGAATAATATATAACCGAGAGCTGAGAGAGGATACTGAGGTTAGGTTTACTGAGGTGCCATTGATAACCGACTTTTTACAAGGCTATCGAATTAAATGGTATGATATAATACAAAAAGAACAAAGGCAACAACAAATTGGATCCCAGATGAAAAGAGACCAAGAAGTAGACCTAAGAAGCGTTAGACGGATAAAATAAAATATGACTTGGAACAACTAGATGTAACAAATCGGATCGAATTCACCCAAGACGGAGTATTTTGGAGAAATACTGTAACAGCCCCAAAGCTCTAGGAGAGCCGTAAAAATAAATAAAAGACGATTTAAGTAATTAAGAATATCGTCGTGGAACAAAGGTGAACTTCGTAGTTAAATCATGCTGAGTCAGTCTTTCGAGTCCGGGTCAGTATCAACGCGTATAGCAAACCTAAGGCTACGATGTTTTTTCATAGTGTTTTTACAAATGTTATTTCTAATTTTGATTTTAATTAAACACAAAACATTTGCAATCATAAAAACGGAAAATATGAACGACATTTTTTTATGAAAAGTTCAAATCACTCGTAACCAAAGAAAAGGAAGATAATTGTTTTTATTTAAGTGTTGAAAAGAACAGTAAAATGTAAGAGTGAAGTTATTGTACTCAAGAAAAAAAAAAATTACAATTAACTTTAGTAGACTAAATAAACTAAATTGAATCAACCAATATAAATCTAATTAATTATTTTTTAAATTTTATTCGTACGTACTTATTAATTATTAATTGTAAAATAATTACGATTATATGATTTTTTTTATTCGTACGTCAATATTCAACAATCACCAGTAAATGTCCGCTACGTAAGGTATTTGTAAAAATAAAACAAAATTCACCAAAATTATTGGTAAAAGTCAACAATCATCGGTGATTGTCAACACTCACTGTTAAGTGGTCATAAACCTTAACATAAATATGAGGTGTATAGGTCGATCAGACAATGATAAAATAATTTTAAAATTATAATGACGTGATAATGTTGAAAATACGAAACTGATGTTTAACGTGGCTGAACGCGAGAAAAAAATGTTGGTGTAAGGTTTTAAAAAAATATCATTATCCCTGTATCCGCTGTAAATGAGCAATTGCAAAATATTATTATTACTACTATTTTTGAATACAACGTATTTCGCGTGGAAGTAGGGGTGAACCCTTGACCAATCCTTCAGGCCAAAATGTCATGTTCAATAAAAATATGACCTGCAGCGATGAAACTTTCATGACTTAATATTTCCTATAATACGAATTTCAAGAATTAACTCATCGTGAAAAACATTAATAATATTGATATTAAACGTAATCGGTTTTTTCGTTCTATAGGTTATATGGGTAAATATAACTATAAACTAATTGAAACAGTTTTGACTAATCAGATAATTCAGTACACACAACTGTTGTCGATTAATGATTCGAAAACGTACTGAAAATCAAGATACTTTAGTTTTTAATTGTAATTTGTTGGCAAAATAAACAATTTGTGATGTAATCAGTTTACCCGTCCGTGTACATACCCGTTTATATGAATTATTACGTTTACATTTTATTAGTTGTGTAATGGAAAATTCAATTGATGTAATTGAACAAAGTTTTAGTAAATCCATTAGTAAAAGTAAAAGCCCAAAGGCGAATACGAGTGCAAACATCAAACAAATACGTGATTTCGCAATCGAGTGATAATATACACCATATATTATGCAATTTAAACAACCGTTACTTTTTACTTTTCTCTTTGTTATTAAACGTTACAAAAAAAAAATGTCAATATTGCCGTGCACAACCGTGTAGAATTCATATTTAATATAAATGTTTGAAAGCAACAACGTGTTTTATGTACAGATTATTGATACATTTATGGTTACCGGTGATTTAGCATTGTATTGTAGATCGGGATATTTTCAACTGTCATGATGAAGTAGAAGTCGTATAAACTGAAAATCAAAGTTTTAAAATGAAAAATATTTTTTTAAATAAAAATAATATTGGTTTCAATGTGATATGAATGTCAAAGTATTAACGTGTTTTATTTTATATTCATTCTACATTAAAAATTACCGTTCTGTCATTATTATGGGTAGTATTATTATTACGTAAAACTATAATTTTTTAAATATATTTTACTGGACTCTATGATTGGATTTAGATTACAGGCAATACAGTTATGATTTTGGTATTTTTTATACCGATGAAAAAATTATAATTTTTTCGTTTAAATTATAAAAAAAAAAAAAAATTGAATATTAATTTTAATAGTTGTTCCTACATTGGGATTCATGGAAAATGAAAGTACAAACAAATTGTTTTTTGATTATTATTACGATTTGTATTGTTTCTATTACACTTGCGTATTATATATAAATTCATAAATTACGATTTTATTTTGGTGAAATGTAAATATTAACTACTTTGATGAATTTGCGAACCGCAATACATTTAAACAATTTTGATTTGGTTTTACGAGAGTAAAAATGATTTAGAAAAAAAAAAAAAACGTATTTTTTTAAGAATAATTTTAACAGACGGATCTATTTTAGTTTCGAAATTATTTTTCGCTTTGATGGTTAAGCGACACGAGTGTATTAGAAAACATTGCAGACAACGAGTTCTTGATGCGTGAAATATATACTACCATTAACATTAGCAACGGTTCAAAGAAATTATAATAACGAGAGGGCGAAAATGATTTATACCAAAGCCGTTTTAATAATTTGAAGTACTTAGAACTATGCAACAGCGGTTATGATGCGATAGTTGGAACGCGCGTATTTTGATCGAAGTACACCGACTAATATACACATAATGTTAAAACTGTTACGGTTATATTATAGGATGAACTAATGCGTTTTTTTTTAAATTTATTTTTCTCTAGACGTTTTCCGTCAGAATGCCGGAGACTGCTGTATCCAGAGAACCCGATCCGAACACCGTTTTCCTGATCAAACTTCAGCAAAAGTGTTTACCCAACGCAACAGGTTGTGAACAAATATTGTTATACTAGGGCGTCGACGGACAACGGCGATGTTTTACGTACGTTTTATTGTTCACAGCGAAATTAGCGACGAATTCGTGTCCGAAATATTTCGACGGATGGGCGTGTTGGGAAGAAACGTTGCCAAACACCACCGCGTTCGCCGCGTGTCCGTATTACGTGGTTGGATTCGATCCGACAAGTAAGTTGATTTCGTAACCATCTGGCTCGACGCATTCAACACGTCAACCGGTGCACGGCCATACATCAGTGTTCGCCCGGAGCACCGATGGAAATTGGATTTTTCCAACGGGTGTTTTTCGATTTTTATCGTCAATATAACGGTTTTAAATATAAATTGCCGCAACAAATTGACCGACGAACGGGGAGGAAAAACTACGGAGCTTTTTTTTAACACGCGAAACGATAATCTTCGAGCGCACAGGGTGGCGTCCGATCGAAACCGCTGGCAGAGCTCGCGGTTCACCGACAGATGATACTTTTGGGGGTGCGACATCCCTCCGGGGATCAGCCTATACGTCCTCGGAGATAACGTGTGAACAACAAACGAGCCGAACTTAATCGAATAATATTACGTAACACTGCTACGCGTTCGAACGAGGGATCACGTTATTTTATTTGCTGTCGCAACGATATTAAAAGTACTGTTTTTTCCCTCTATTTTACGACTCCGTGCTTTCGCACGGTTAGTGAAGTTCAAACGCTTCAAGCCGACGACGAGGGGTCAGGGGAAACGGTGAATCCGTTGACGTTCCTTTTCTCGCGTTACTTCCGCTCGTCGCGAGAAACGATAATTTTTCCGGGGGCATCTAAAAACAACGAACGAGAAACACTTTTAGGTTACATGCCGGACTCTCGTACAAATCGACGGGCAACATCTTGTCGCCGTTGTAAAAAATGATCTTCTGTACCCGGACGGTTGTAGTTGGCATATTTACTCGTAAGTATGATATGCATGCTTGATCGATATGGTCACCAACTACTGTTCGTTATCAATATCATTGCTTTGTTAGTACTGCCAAACTCGTTATAAAATTATAGTGATCGAATCGATCGGAACATCGTTGATTAAATTACGTTTATGCGACACATTAGACGCCGTAGGTTTCATATTTAAATACGGTAATGATTTGCAAAATAGCTGTTTGACTTGCTTAATATAATAATTTATTGGTATGATTGCAATAATTGTAATTATACCAATAAATTATTTAACTCGTATTAAACGTATCGATTTCTATGGAAAATTGTCTATATACCGTTATATATTCCGTTGCGGTTGATAATTTGTAAAAACGTTTTCGTTAAGTACTTTTTTTCCGTATCGTTAGTTTTTTCCCTTGACGAGAAATCTATTATACATTTATTAATGCTTTTCGAATATTTCATAGCGTTCAATTTAGCTTCAACGTATAATTCATTGGACGATTTCAATTTTCGTTTATTTATTTTCCTCGAAATGTCAACACCCTAATCCCGTAATATTTAGGTGCGTTACCCCAGCACCCGCACTTTCGAAATCATGAATTTTAATCAAGCAGTATTATGTACTTTATTTTGTACAATTTTGTACAACTCTCAAAACCTCCCCGAAATATAATTTCATTTTACGGGTGCTGCGGTAACGTTACACTAGCACCCGGATCAACTATTTTTCATAAATTTCAACTTTAAACCGTACAGTATTATGTACTTTATTTTGTACAATTTTGTACAACCCCCCCCCCCCAGAAATTCAATTTCATCTTATGGGTGTTATCGCGTATCTTTTATCAATATTGTATCTAAGATACTGGTATCGAAGATACAGCACTTCTTTTTAGGTAGGAATAGTTGCTGTTGATTAATTTATATAATTCAAAAAGAATCAACAGAATATATTAGGTAAGTTCTCAGATATCAAGTTTTAAAATTATGTCAATTATATTAAGTAGATGCATTATTTTAACAATTGTTAAATTAATCATTTATATATTTATATATTAATATCATATTACATTTTTACATTGGTTAATGAACGATTTATTTTCTGATAAGAATAACAAAAAAAAATCGAAGAGTATCTACATTATATGCAGATACATCTGTACATGTATATGTCTTGTTTCTACTAAATACAGTTGACATAACAATATCAACGCCGATTAGGTATTAGATACTAGGATTAAGCTGTAGGTAACTTTTTTAACACGTGTAAAAAATAAACAAGGTTCAAAGACCGCACGTTAAATATTTATTTGAACATAAATTTTATTTTAATTTAAATGACAAAATCGTCATCTATATTACTTTTAGTGATTAACAATAAAGAACGGTGTATTGAAATACAAAACGTACACACGCGTTTCAAGCTGCTCGATGTTTCCATAAAATACTTAAAAAATATAAACATTAATATAAAATAATATAAATAAGTATACGAAGAGTAATAAGCCAACTAAAATTACAAATACCGATAATTCCCACATACATCGACGAACAAACTATTAACCAATACCAGTTATATTTATATAATTTATAATGAGTTATTTTTATCGTCAATATAATTATTATTCAAATAGCTAAACCTAATGTTACTTTTTTACTAATTTTTCTCAAAACTACTCCATTGTTGCTTACTGCCTTTTGGCTTAGGAGGGCAGTATATATGTCAATAAACATCGTTTTATATTTGTTATGCCGTAGGTATACCGTAAAAGTTTTTATTATTTTAATATTGTCTGACTAATTTCTTGTCATCATCACAGTAGGAGTTGTAATTTAATATTGTTATCTTAATGTTAAAAATAATAATATAATATTGCATTTCTAAAAATAGTCTAATACAATCTGATTTTAGGTTGTACAATAATAAATAATATTTATAATCAATGAACAATAATACTAAGTAGTTAGTACGTCGTACGTGGGCATTATGCTACATTGCTACTTTCAACATTGTCGACTAATTCGTCTATTCATGATATTGCGCTTCTAAGCTTTACTACAACAAAATGTATCGAATATTTTGATTCATAGATTCATTTTATTTTAGTAATTTACTATAATTTTGTTTATAATAATATGTATTTGGTTTTAATATGAACTTGAATGCACCTACCGCCTAATGTCTTAATGTACTTCTGTTTTTCAAAATTGTGATCATTTAAATAAGTTACATTTATGTCGTGTATTAGATATAATTTCCTTGAATTTATTTTGTTTTATATTAAAATATAATTAAAACTTTTGTGTATGGCTCTAATAAGTGAAAGGCAAATAATCTTATTTCTTACTTTTAGAAATTTTTTTTTTGTCAATACGCATACAGCCGCGAGTGAAATCAATGTTTTACTCACGGACACGCAGCTACACGTTGTAGTCAAAGTTGGAACCAGTATCATGTTGGAATGTTCGATGCGTATCTGTGTATGAATTTGTACATACTAAAAATCTTAAATCAACTTAAAAAGTAAGAATGCAAGAAGAAAAAAAAATTTATTATGCATATAGGTGTACGATTAAAATCGAAATTTTTTAAGTCACTATAATTTATGTGTGTTTACGTTGTACAGCCAGGTTCACACAGAGTTGTAAACTGGGCAAGAATACTACTATTAGGAGTGTTGGTCGTGATCACTACCTAGTGTGAACTGATAATCGTGGTAGTAGGAGTTGTCAACGACCAAAAATAGATAGGTCATGATTACTCCAGCATGTTGGAGTGAATCATTTTATTTTTATATAATAATAACATTTCCTACGTCAGCGTAATGTCAGTATACAAAATGAATACAGAACAAACAATTCAATTTGTTGAATTGTATCGCGATACGGAATGTTTGTGGAAAATAAATTCTGAAGTGTACAAAGACAGAGATACAAGAGATAGAGCCTCAAAAAAAATATACGATGAAATGAGTATCGATGGTTTTGGTATTCATGAAATAATCCAAGAGATTAAAAATATTAGATCAGTTTATTATTAAGAATTGAAAAAAATAAATAATGTTAAAAAATCAGGAGCATCTGCAATTAATATGTGTGAACTGAGGGTCGTAAATTATCGGTTGGGCAATTCAAGCAGTCGTGAGATATGCACAGAACGAGTAGTATTCTTGCCCAGTTTACAACTCCGTGTGAACCCGGCTTACAATTTATTGATATTAATTATGAAACTTGAAGAAACAAAAATAAATAAATAAATATTTATCAGTTACTAAATAAAAGTAAAAACAAAAAAATTAATTACTAGTAATCACTAAAAAAAAATTTTAAATACTTCACATGGTCAAGACCGATTACAGGATCACACGAGTCTCATCGTGTATACCAAATATACCAAGGGTTAGTTACAACTTGCTTGTCATACTCCTTTGACACGGGTCAAAAATACCGATTTTCAGTAGAACCTAACGGGACCAAATGTTGGCTGCAACCAGGGTTGGCCAGTATCAAAGATACAATGTATCTTTTATCTTGTATCATGATACATAGTTTTAAAGTATCAAGTGTCATGATACATTTTATGCAAGTTTCATGTATCTTTTTTGCCAAAAGATACAAGATAATATAATTGTAAACATTTGTACTGAATAAAACCAAGAAATAAAAAAATAATTTCGTCGCGGATTTTTATGAAAAATAATTGTCCAGATGTGATCGGGCCAAAATGAATGATAACGAAAACATTTACTACACCCTGTAAGATCATTTTAAAATTAAATTGTTGCTGGTATGGCCGTTACCTACGTAAAAATTACGGTCATACAGATAAGCAAAATAACTGAAATAACTGAAATTTTCGTTCTCAATAAATATGAATTTACTAAATATTTTTTTAATTTTTTTTTTTTTTATAGATATGATTGTAATCGTAGTAGGTTTTACCTCATTAAATATAAAATCATATCAAAAATACAGATAAGTAATTTTAGTGTGCTTGTCACGAAGCACAACACAAAAATATATAATTTAAAATTAAATTAAATTAAATATATTAATAATAATAATAATAATAATAATAAAAATACAACAAAACAAATTCAAATTAATAATGACAATAATAATAATGTAATTGTATAGTATTTTTAAAAAATAACTATATGTGTTACAATAAACACTATTAGTTTTAAAATAAAACAATAAAAAAAAACAAATGTCAAATGATAGATTGTAGCAAAAATATAGAAAAGTAAAAGG